AGAGAAATTTCTAGCAGACATCACTCCTTATGGCAAGGTAAGTTGCATCCGTTCTGACAATGGCGCAGAATTTACAGGTAAGGCGTTTCAAACACTACTAAGGGAGCGTGGCATAAAACATAAAACTTCTGCTCCCTACTCGCCACACCAGAATGGCGCCGCCGAAAGGCACTGGCGCACATTGTTCGAAATGGGCAGATGTCTTCTTCAATCAGGGTTACCAAAAACTCTCTGGCCCTATGCAATTCAAACCGCAGCTCACATTAGGAATAGATGTTTTAATAAGAGAACAAAGACATCACCCTACTTTAGCCTTACTGGGAAAGTACCTGATCTTTCTAAAATGTGGATCTTTGGATCTGAATGTTTTGCTTACAAACAGGAGCATAAGAAATTAGACTCAAGAAGTATTTGTGCGATACGACAAAAATAGCCCTTCGTACCTAGTGTACTACCCACAAAATGGGAAAATCATGAAACATCGACTCATTAGATTCATCAAGAAATGTAGTGTAGAACAGCACACACAAACTGATGAGTCCAGCAGGGATTGTGATGTACATGAGAAATCTGACCATGATACTTGATCAGACTTAGATAGTATGAGCCTCCCTGTTTTAAGTGCAATGCCGCCAAATACAGTGCCTGATGAGGAGCCTTGGGATAGTGAGGGAAGGCATTGCGACCATACTGAGAATGACAGTAAGACAAAACGGTATCCTCAAAGAGAAAGGAATCCTCCCAGACACTTAGAAGAGGACACCCTCCTCCCTAAGAATGCCGATTGTGCCCACATTAGTGTAGATTACTGCTACAAAGTTTGTGGATTACCACAAAATTACATAGAAGCCATGGGATCACCTCAAGCTAGGGAGTGGGAGCAAGCAATGAAGGAAGAGATCAGTTCTCTGAAGGAGAATGATACTTACGAATTATCAACTTTACCAGAAGGTAAAGCTTCAGTAGGGGGAAAATGGGTGTACACAACCAAACAAGATCAGAATGGCGTAGAGACCTTTAAGGCCAGATATGTAGCGAAGGGTTACAGCCAGGTAAAGGATATAGATTATCAAGAAACTTTCGCCCCGACAGCCAGTATTACTTCAATTAGGGTCTTAATGCAGTCCGATCTGTAAAATATGATCTTATTGTCCACTAGATGGACGTTAAAACTGCATATCTGCATGCCCCCATTACTCAAGAGTTATACATAGACCAGCCACAAGGGTTTGAAGAGGTTTCAGAGAGTGGTGAGAGGTTAGTATAAATTATACTATATAGGCTAAAGAAATCGGTATATGGTCTAAAACAATCAGGTAGAAATTGGAATATATTGTTACACGAGCATTTAGCCAATGACGGTTTTGTCAGAAACCATGCTGATCACTGTGTATATAAGAAACTAGTTGATGATAAAATTGTTATCGTCATTGTTTGGGTTGATGACCTAATTATAGCATCAGATAGTATGCAGTTGATGGAAGAATTTAAAGAACGTATGAAGACACAATTTAAGATGAAAGATCTAGGTAGAATCACTTTCTTCCTTGGAATGGATTTTAAGCAAAGCAAGGGTGAAATAAGAATGAATAAAAAAAGATTCATTCTTAAAATACTAGAGAGATTTGGAATGATAGACTGCAAACCCAGGTTAACCCCATGTGAGCAACGATTAGAATTTAACTGTGGTGAATTGACCAACGCCAGACAGTATAGAGAAATGATAGGAAGCCTGATTTATGCCATGAACTGTACAAGACCTGATTTAAGTTGGATTGTACGCAGACTGTCTCAAACTCTGTCAAATCCCAGAACGGGAGATTTAATTGCTGCCAAACATGTCCTAGGTATCTAAAGGGTACCGTGGATTATGAACTCTGCTTTAAGAAATCTGATGCTGACTTGCAGCTCACTGCTTATAGTGATTCAGATTGGGCCTCTTGCCTGGAAGACAGGCGAAGTACTACAGGTTACTGTTGTACTCTAACTGAAGGATGACCACTGACTTCATGGAAGTCGAGAAAGCAACAAACGGTTGCCATTTCCACTTGGGAAGCTGAATATGTAGCTTTAGCAAATACAGCTTAAGAGTGATTGTATCTAACTCAATTGTTAAACGGTATGTATAAGAAAGTACATCAAAGTATGAAGGTAAGTGTTGATAACCAAGGGGCAGTTGCACTAAGTAAGAACCCAGTTAACAAACAACGTTCTAAGCATATTGACATAAAGTACCACTTTGTACGTGAAATGTATGTTAAAGGCATGATAGATATTGTATATTGTCCTACCCAAGATATGGTAGCTGATATCCTAACAAAGCCACCCACAAAATGTAAACTAGATAATTTTAAAAGTATCGTGTTCGGTTGTTGTAATTAGTTTAGGTTGAGTTCAATATAAAACTGTATGTTATCCAAATATTAGTATGACGTAATACTGAGAGACAAATGCATGATGGGATTGTTGTGTTGTTAGTTGAACTTCCTCGTGAAAGTAACTTACTGTACAAAACTACATTTGTAATAAACGTGAAAATAAAGAGTGATTTCATTACAAATACGGTGTTCTAAAGTCATGGCTTCAACAAGGATGACCTTTGAAAGTACCGTAAATGGACTTGACCATCCTTATGGATTGTATAGACCAGCTAATTTGGCTAGAATACCGCTTTCGTTGACTGCGTGGATGGATGTTCAATTTGTGCATGCATAGTTAAGTTCTAGGGTGTCTGATTGTGCAACCCATGCAATTCCTAATGCTCGACCTTATTTTTCACCCTGCTCGGTTTCCTTTGTTCTTATCGGGTAATATATTCTGCGCGCCTCGGTGAATAAATCACATATCCCCTCGTTGCCTCAAAATAACCTATACATACATCACCTCGCTGTAGCATTACATTCGAAATGCTTCGTTCACTTTCCGGTATGGTTGCCGCAATTCAGGCAAGGACGAAATTAAAGTACTTTCGCATTGGGAAAACTCCTTAGCAACCAGGGATGGGACATCAGTTCTCGTAGTAACTGCCTGCGGAACATCATTGCAGGAAGTGTTGAGGCCGACACACACCAGACGCGATTCGACAACGCGACGCGATTTTTCGATTGTCACTGACCGATACACTGTAACTATTTTGGTTTAACTTTTTAAAATATTTAGAAGCGCTAAACATTTCGAGTTATTTGGTATTCATATCTTAAAAATTTCCTTTCATTGGCTGTTCTATTCATTTCAAAAACTGAAAAATCGCGCTGCGTTGTCTCGATCTTAGAAGTCGTCTACAAGATACCTCGTCTCACGGCGCCTGCAGCTTCCGGCCACTGATCTTGGTTGTCTTTTGCCGTACGGATTATTTCGAAATTTGTTTCACATAGTAACGATTTGTCCCCCAAACACCAAACAGTTCATTTCATGAACGTCAGGCGGTCTTGTTGAATCCATGTCACGCCACAAGTAGCGGTGATACTTGCGCTCCTCTTCTTTTGCACCAACATGGGAAAACATATCGGACATGTCTCCCACAAGCAGGACAGTGCCGAGCGGTGTCGGGTTAGGGAGGGGGTGAATTAAAGTTTGGGCCCCTTTCCTTTTGGGAACCCCCTCAAAAAACTTTTCGGAAAGCAAAAATATTTCCTTAATATTTAACACGTTCCGCAATTCCAGCATTCCGGGCCCCTCTGGGCAAGTTGGGCCGCCTTTTTCGACTTTTCGTTGGGGTTGTTACACTTCGCATACCCCCCATCAGTAGTCCCGGCCCTGCCCACAAGTGCAATAGGTCTTTCAGGAAACTGCAACAGGATATCTGACAATAAATTGTTGTGAGACTGGTCCTGCCTCGAGGCTGTCGTTCAGACAATCACCGTTGTGCATGGCGGCAGAATCAAAATTGTTACAAATCATTGTATCATTAATATTTAGTGGAAATCATCAAGCTATGCATTCCGAAGGTTTTACAGTGAAAACAAGTACTTTTGCTTTATTTTATTGCTTTTTATGCTTTGAAAACAGGCAAGCTCGTTTTTTTGCAAAAATCTAATCTAATCCATATAAGTTACAATAATCTAATCTATATAAGTTACAAAGGTATTGTTAACTGATCTGAAAGATTTCAGTATTCCTGGTACACATTTTAACAAAGAATGAAATGTAATTTCAAAATTAAATATGCATATCAAAAACAATACTTTTTATCAGAACAACACGTTGTTATTTCCTATTTTTACAAAAACAAGTTTGGAAACAGGATTTAGTCCTCCAGCTTGATGTCATATTCCATTTATTTGGATATTTCAATAAAGGAATGTGAAATAATAGTTTAATCTTGTGCAAAATTTGATACCAACATACATGTGAACAGATACTATCACCTAAAAATAAAAGAAAACAGGCATATAGTGAGCACAATTCTTTAACAAACTCACTAAAATAAGTTAAGTTACGCTATGGCAATATATAACAATATCAAATGTCACCATCTTCAGTGTCCAAAAAAAGTGCCGCGCGCATTTTTTCTGGTCGCATAACTGGTATTGCACCCGATTAGCACGTTTGACGCCGGCTGGCAGCCGGAAATTTTGTCTCCGATTGCTCGGCCGCCAGCCGGGCTGTACTATAGTATACTATTCGTTCAAAAAATGCGCGCATTTCGGAGACTGGTTCTAGAGTGTCTCATAAGCTGAAAACCACCAAAATTACATTAAATTTTCCGAAAATCATCGAAATGCATCTAAATTCATCTTCCCAATGCATACAGCTAGCTATGCGACAGGTAAATAAACGAGAAAAAAGAGAAAAATTGAGAATTATTCGCGCTGACTCTGAGATTCGAACTTACGACCCTCGGCATACACGCTAAGTGTTGTTCCCCTGCGCCACCACGTCTTACACGGAAAATATGTTAATATCTCATATGAGGAGAGAATTTGTAGCCACTGTGATTTGAATGAGGTTGGTAATGAACAACACTATTTAATGCAATGTGCCAATACAAAATTCACAGCGATTAGAACGAACTTTATTACTAATCTTTTTCAAATTAACTATTCTTTTAGATTTTTTAATACCCATGATCTTTTCATATATATATTATGTCAATGAAAGACAAATCCATAAATTCACTAGTTGCTAAATTCTGTTATGATATTTTAAAAACATTTGACCAATTGTAAGTTTGTATCTTAAGCTCATTCTCCATATACTGTAATCAGTTTATTTCTTTGTAATTCGACATATCAGTAATGGTATTTTTGTATGAATAAAGTTATTATTATTATTTATTGTATATAAAGAGGTTATTCTTAGCCAGCGCGATTTATGATTGCGTAAATACGTACACTATTGTACACGGCCAAGGGTACAGTACCAGCGGAGCCGTATCTACTCTTTAATACAACATTTA